CCCGCGAGCGGGGGTGGGGCCCCAGGCGGGGCGGGGCCTGATACGGCTGCACAGCACCCTGGAAGGGGTGCGCTCGCAGAAGGGCCTGAATTCCCGAGGGCAGGGGTACCAGGGGCAGGGCCTACCCGGGAGGGGTGGGGCTGTGGCTTGGGCGTCGCTTCCGGAGAGTGAAAGTGCTAGCTAGGTCAGCAACTCCCGGCTCCGTGACCTGCCAGAATGGTGACAAGGGCTGCAGGCAGGGATGGCTTTGCTGGGCCAGTGCATTCCCATGCCTTTGGGCCAGGGGTTCCCAGGGAATGAGGGGTGCTCCCAGTCCTGTTAAAGGGTGCAGTCCTGCCTTCCTTCAGAGCAAGATTCATATCCAGGTCCAAATAGAATTATTCCAACTGAAGGTTGGTTGTTGGGCATTTGACCAAAAGTACGCTGAAAATGTGGTTTCTTTTTGACTTTTCGAAAACAATCCAGGAACCCACTTTATACTTTACAGATCCCAAAAGGCTCAGGGTCCCCAAACAGAGGACAGACAGAATCATAAAACTCAGAGGGCCAAGGACTTGCCTAAATGTCGGGAGTGGCTTCTTAGGTGGGGACTGGGCTGAAGCCGGTCAGTTAATGCAGCAGCAATCAAATGGCAGAGAGTTGAGACCTAGCATGGTGTTTTCTTGCTTAAGCAGCCAACCCTGTGACCAGGGTCTTCTGAGAAAAGCAGAAGACATGTCCTGATCCAAGGAGACAGAAAACAAGTTCTGGGAAAGACCTCACTTTCAACACAAATTTTATGAAGTGGGCATAAAACAGCAAAGAAATACTGGAGTGAAAAGCACTTCAGGCTCCACACCTCAAGTATTACAGAATGGGCACTTTGAAGTGTGTGTTCGGAAGGCCCATATGTTGTTGCACTGAGCTTCTGCCTCACTTATAATACTGGGATTATAAGCATATTTGTGCAGTGCCTTGCAAGCGCTGTCATGCTCTGTTTTCATCTGAGTAAATAATAGCCATTTATTGAGCCCTTGCTACATGTCTGAGACTGTGCAAACATTATCTTTTTAATCCTCTCCAAACCTCTTTCTGGTAGGTATTAAACTCACTTTACAGGTGAAGATTTGGAGGCTCGGAAAGTTTAATTCGCCCAGGAGTGGAGTGGGGCATGGCAGGTGCTAAAGAATTATGTAGAAAAGGGCAGGATGGATAGGAGTATTGGGCATGACCCACCCCAGATAAGGGGAAACCACCTTACATACTTGCTGGAATCAGGGCAAAGGCCTACTCCAAGAACCAGCAGGGCTTGGGGCATATGGGAGGAGTCAGACAGTCTCTGAGGGGATTTACAGGAAACAATCTCTGTTGTTCCTGGATCTAGCTAGCTGGCGGTTGGCAGGGATCATGTCATAAAACAGTCTTTCCTCCACACATAACAGTATGATTGAAGGAGTTGCCAGTTTGATATTTATAGTCAATAGAAAAGTGGAGCATAGATGGGAAAGATGAGGAAGAGAAATGAAGAATTTACAACTTCTCCAGATCTTAGAACTTTTCGTCTTTAAAACAGACAGTTTTGTATGTATCTGGGTATGTGTCTGTACAAGCCTATCGGGAGACATGCACACCTTGTTATGTCTATTTGATGAGCATCTCATATATAGCTCACCATAAAGAATGGTGATTGATTTTAGGATGAATAGATGATGAAATCCCTAAGGTTTTATGTATAGTTCATGTTATGTAGCACTCTGTTTATAAAGGATCCTGAGTTTTGATTGTCATGGTAGTAGGGTAAGATACTGATTCAACCATCATAAAATGACATTGAAGCTCTCATCCACATAAAAGGCTAGCAGTAGTTCAGCTCCTGGGTTGATTAAATCAGCTGTTTAAATACCTCATCGAGCCTGCGTATTCCTCTCATCTTTCTGCTCTGTCATCTTCGGATTGTTCCTCATGGTCTCAAGGTAGCTACTAAAGTTTCAGGAGTCTTTCATAGACAATGTCCAGCAGCAGAAGAGCCCATCTCTATGTGTTTCTTTTATTAGCAAGTGGACTTTTTCTAGAAGTGTCCTAGAGACCTCTCATTTTTCACTGTCCAGACTGGGTCATGTGCACACTAAACTGTTCACTGTCAGGGGAAGTAGATCACCATTACTAAGACAAATCAGGTTTACCTTGAGGTGGTTACAGAGTCAACCTTCCCAGGAGTCGTGTGGGGAAGGGGTAGGTGCTACGTGAACAAAGTTGAGATTCTGATAGCAAGGAAGAAAGCAAGGAGCAGGCAACCTGGAGTATATGCTGCAATGGGTGTGTGAGGAGGAACAGGGTGAACTGGAGAGTATATGTGAGGGCCTTCCCCTGCATGGGCGGGGGGAAATGTGTACTTATCCACACATTTCCCCTTTTATTATCTAGATCTGTGGTTCTCAGAATTTAGAGCATAGTCTGACTATACATTGGAATCATCTGGGGGGCTTGAAATATATTGACACCTCGATCCTAGCCCAGAGATATTCTGATGATGATATTCTGACTTTATCTCAGAGATATTGGGAAGAAGTCTAGGGATTCTAGCATGCAGCCAAGGTTGAGAACCACTGGTGTAGATCAACAATTCCCAATGTATCATGTAAGGAAGACTTGCCCTGACTGAGATGCTGCAGTATTAGATGCCTTGGTGAAAGAAGTTTGGGAAACATTATATACTTTGTCGCTCATGCTCATCTCATCCCAGGAAACTCACAGTACACATTTAGCTTATTAAAAGCTCTGACAATTCCCATGCTAAAGAACTTGTATAACCTTTATAATCTAGTGTTTCCCACATTTATTTGATCCAGAAACATTTTGGGGGGTTGGATTGTATCCCCTAAAGAGATACATTGAAGTTCTTCAGAATATGACCAAATATGGAAATAGGTATAGTTGCAGATGTAATTAAGATGCAGTTATAATGGAGTAAGGTGGGCCCTTAATCCAATGTGACTAGTGTCCTTAGAAGAAAAGAAACACAGAGAAAGAATACTAGGAAGAAGGCCATATGATGGCAAAGAGAGATTAGAGTGATGCATCTGCAAGCCAAGGAATGCCAAGAATTTCTGGCAAACACTAGAAGCTAAAAGAGAGGATTACTCTGCAGGGCCTTCCAAGGGAGAATGGCCCTACTGACACCTTGGTTTGGGGCTTCTATCCTCTAGAACTGTGAGACAATAAATTTCTATTGTTTTAAGCTACCTAGTTTGTGGTATTGTTTCAGCTGCCCTAGCAAACCAAAATGACATCCATTAGAATCTTTCAGACAGTTTGAGAAACTCTGAACTAGAATCATTCAAAGGCAACTCCCAACTAAGAAGATGAAATAATTAGTCTGTAGAGGACATTTTTTTCCCTCAAACTCCAGACAATATTTGTTTTATTTCTAGGAGAAAATACATTTGAACAAACAGTCTATCACAGTAGTGGCAATTGTACCTGCATATATACATACTTTATTAGTTTTTTAATTGTCAGGCTCAGTAACACATCTGTGGACACAGAAAAACATTGACTTGGAGAGATTACAGAATCACTGTTAAATTTAAGTCCGAGGCTCTTGTCTTTAACTACTCTACACATGATTGTGTGTAGGTGAAGAGCTTAAACTTGGGGCGCAGCTGGTGCAGGTTGAGGATGTCGGGCCTCTGACAGCAACTCAGGCTGCTCACTACTGTTTGCAGGTTCCTGTGTTTTACATTTAATGCCTAGGAAACTGAGTATTTTCATCAGCAGTAAATTGACGATCTCTCCTTCCTCTGATAGCTGCAGAGGGAGAAAGAACCATGCTGTGTATTTAGAAACATACTCACTGGGGGCTTTTCTTTCTAATGGGAAACCATGATTTTATTGTCCAACTTGGTCTCTGCCAAAGTCACTTCATTGTTTAGAGTTGCTTTTGTGTTGGAATTCACCTCCTTCAGGGACTCCCAAGGGTGTGTGCTCCCACCTTTATCCTCAGGGGGTTGCTTCTTCCCTTCTGATGAAAATGGCAGAATCCCTCCACCACCCCCATCAGATGTGGTTTGGAATTTATGTACAAAGCCCCTTATGCTTTGCTACTGAGAATGTGAAATGGCGCAGCTGATTTGGAAAACAGTTTGGCAGTTTCTCAAAATTTAAACCAAAGTTGTCATACAACTTGTTTAAATAAATTTCTAGGCCTAAGATAGAGCCATTCCTGCCAGGAGTGCCATGTTAGCAAGCTAAAACTTAAGATAGCTTTTGTGTCCCTATAAATGCCCCCATTGACCAGAAATATCCAATCAGCCAATCCCCAAACACCAAGCCAGCCCTGGGCTCTATACGCTACAGTGGTCTCTTAAGTTCCCCTAAGGTCTAATGCTGCTCAGCCAGCTTCTTCCTAGGTCAAGGTCAATGACTGTTGAAGAATAGGCCAAAGGGATTCATTTACCTGATAGTATTTTTGCTCTTCATTGAAGGCCACCAGGATAACAGAGATAAATAGATTCAGCACCACAAATGTCATGAAAATAATGCAGGACCCAATTAAGAAGGAGCCTAGCACTGGGCTGTAGTCCAGGACCTGTCAGGAAGAAAGACAGAATCATTCCTGGGGCCCTGTATCCTTTAGGCCACCTCTTCCATTAGGCACCCTCAGAGGGAAAACTTGTCCTCAGAGCTAGGCAGAAAGATCTTTTTCTGCCTGGGGACTGACAGTATGGGCAGTGCTCTCAAGAGCTGCCAGGAGAGGGAAAGGGCTGTGCCCCTACTTCCCACTGCTGCCCTTTCCAAATATGGGCACCATTTCTGTCTAAGGCCAAGAGCATTCTCTTGCAGGGACCCCCCAGCACAGCTTTCCCCCGAGTAGCCAGTACCTGATATTCTTCTATGAGCTGGAGTTCCCAGGGTGAGTGAGTATGGGGCTGTCTGCCTGGAGGAAGGGGAACCTTTTTGTTCATAGTTACCATTTATTTGCCAGGCCATGAATGCAAGGGGTGACATCAACTGGGGAAGCACTTGAAGGGGGTGCTTTTTCTAATTTTCATAAAAGCTTGGTGCAATTGGCAATGTCCATGTCCCGCCACCCCACCCCATTACCTCTTCATAGTTAAAGATTCCTAGCTGAAGGCTGATCATCGTTTCTGCTGCATCAAAGAGGGTTTTGTAGGAACGGAG